TATTTACCTTTTTATTTAAAAAATTATAATATATTTTAATTATTATTTATAATAAATAACAAATAATTAAAATTTTATATAAATAATATAAATAAAACTTGTGTATAATGTGATCATTCATTGCTTTGTTTCGTGAACTTGTTGGCGTCTCTTTTTCATGTGCAACGCCATATCTGTCGTTTCTCATTTTCTCATTTTCTCATTTTCTTAGAAAGAGAAACACCCAAATGGAGTCAGTTCTTTCATCTCCCCGCTCGCACTTTTCTTCTGGAATCTCCTGTTGAATCTCTTTATTCTGTTATCTGTTTTTGTAAAAATGGATTTTTGAAAGAAAGTGATTTCCAAATTTTCCATCCTTTTCCTTGGAAACAAGCACTTTAAAATCTCACTTCAAAACCAAACAGTTGAGAAAAGGAAGAAAAGATGATTCCGTTTTCCTTCATTTTCATGGTTGTGGTTTTGTTGTGTTCGGTAATGGTCGTTCCTCGTGCTCTTGCTGGTTTACTGGCTCAGCCAGTGACCGGTCACGATCAGTCATTGAATCCAGGTGACTACTCATCTCTGAACACAGTCCCAGCTTTCCCAGTGCAGACGGAGGCCGAATTGTGTAGACTTGACCTCTCCGACGAGCTATTCGGTGGCGTTAACGACGCATGCGGCCACAACCTAGACAGAAGCCGCTGCTGTCCTGTTTTGGCAGCGTGGCTCTTCGCAGCTTACGCGAAGTCTGCTCTCGAGTTACCCGCTCCGGCTCCGGCTCCGGCTCCGGCTGAACCAGTGCAGCCAGACCAACCCATGATGCCGGACGACTCGCAGAAGTGCGTGGAGTCCCTGCAGAGCGCCTTGCTGAGCAAACGCATCAAATTGCCACAGCCGAACGCAAGCTGTGACACAATTCTCTGCTTCTGCGGGATACGGTTGCACCAGATCAGCTCGTTGAACTGCCCTGTGGCGTTCAACATTTCTGGGCTCCATAACGCCACCCCCACCGCAGTGGTCAGGAATTTGGAGAAGAATTGCAGGAATTCTTCTTACTCTGGATGTACCAAATGCCTTGGTGCCCTCCAAAAGGTAATTATTTGAGTAATAATCGAATATCATTCCTTCCCCTTTAATTTGTTGGGTGCTTTTTAGTTTGCATTATTCTTCACCTTCTCCCTTAGTGAATCAATTTAGACAAGTACAACATTTTTTTCCCTGGTATGCTCTCAAACTTTTAGTTTCTTTCATTCTTTAATCCCTTTTGTGTCTCCTCTTTCACACAAATAAAAATTTTAAATTACCCTTTTGGTGGATTTGCATTTGTTGTAGCTCAAGGGAGGGTACAAGAATGGCACGGAGGACCAGAGCACCAGTGAGAGAGCAAGAAAGATGTTCAACCGGGACTGCCAACTCATGGGGTTGACATGGCTTTTGGCTCGGAACAAAAGGGAGCACATACCCACCGTGTCGGCAGTGCTCCGCGCAATTATGTACAGTGCGCACCCTCAGCACGAGTCAAAGTGTAGTCCAGATCAGGAGAATATGCCGTTGGCTGTGGATTCGCTGCAGTTCGAGAAGACCAAGTCGTCGGCTTCATTGTCGTCGGAGAAGCATTTGGGGTTTCTGGGTTTTCTCCCAATGATATTGTTTTCTCTGTTTGCGTAGGGTGTACTAGTGGTGGGTAGCAACTTGATTTTGCCATTTTGCCTAGTATTTTTTGGAGGACTCAGTGGGGAAGGGTTCACGTGACGCTAATGGTACAGCTAGTAGACAAAAGGAGCTGTTTTTTCAGGGTTCTTTTTATCTTTACGCCCCCGCCTTGTAAATTGTGTAGGAGATTTATATTTGTTTCACATTTTGTTACAATGAGTATACAGAAACGGCTCTTGCCCGTAATCAACTATTTATTCACTCTTTTTTTGAACCGAAGTTAAATAACTATTTATTCACTCTTGGGATTTATGATTTCCAGGCTTATTATATAACTAGGTTTTTTTAACTCGTGTATTGTACTAGATTTTTTTTATTAATTATTTAATTTTATAATAATTTTTAATTAATAAATTTTAATTAATTTAAAGATTAAGAAATTATTAATCGAAATAAATATTTTTTATTTTAAATTAATTTTAAATTAATTTGTCATAATTTTTATTTTTAAGGTAGATATATATTTTTATCTTATATTTTTATCATTATCTATTTATTTTCATTAACCATCCAATTATAAAAACTCTTTACTTATCTTTTAGTTCCTTTTAAGAATATTGTAGATAAATATAGAAATTGTTTTTAAATATTTAATTTAGAGAAAAAGTTTAAAAAAAACAATAGTTATTTTGACATAGAATATGATAAATTCAATAATAAATACATTTATATATTTTCTAATAAATCAATTATTTTACATGTTTTACTTTTATCAACCAAATGTATTTTTTCTTTTAACTAAATATCTATTTTAATATATTAGACTCTTTTGCCATCTTATTGACTTATAAAACTAATAATTTTAATTAATTTTTTACATATCATTTTATCTTCTTTCTTTTTGTAATATATATAAATGTCACTCATATTAAGAATATTATAGTTTCTTTGCGTTAGTTTTAGTTTTAAGTTATATTAATTATTATTATTTATACCACATTTAATACAATTTAAAATATAAATTACTGTGCCATTAAAGTTATATAATGAATAATTATTAATTTTAGGTTAATATGGAAGATAAAGTGTTACCCCATATAAATATATATACTTTTTAGCATGCATTTAATAATTAATATGCATTATAATTTTTTATTTTCATTCTTTATAAAATAATGATAAAATAATTGAAAAGATAAAGATAATATAAGAAGAGAAAGAAAATGAAAAAGTTAGAATAATAAATACATTTATTACATTTTAATGTAAAAATAACACTTTCCTTTTTTTTTTTTTTTTTTTTGTTGGTACATCAGTAACGAAAGCTAAAACAACTTAACAAAAATAACTAAGGACAGAGGAAGCTGGCCCCCAACTGATCCCCTGCAAGGATGTGCCGCAACCCAACTGGTGGTGTGTTTAGAATACTGAAACCTGGCTGTGAATTGTGTCCCAGGGAAGCAAGATAGTCTGCAGCAGCATTCCCGTCACGTAGAGTATGCTGCAAAATACAATCCTGAAATTCCGGCATCAGATTTTTTATGTCCAGTACTATGGCAGCAGATAAATTGTCTGGCTCCCTATTATTATTAATCAAATGAACTACCATAAGTGAGTCCAATTCCGCAACCACTCGGATCAGACCCAAAGCTTTGCAAAGTCGAAGACCCTCTCTAAGTCCCCACAACTCAGCTATGAACACTGAAGCACGACCAATATTGACCGTAAAACCCATGAGCCAACTCCCCAAACTGTTTCTTATCAAACCCCCAACACTGGCAGAATTACTCTCTTGAGCGAAGGATCCATCTGTATTCAATTTAAACCAGCCATCATCAGGTAGTATAATTAACAAAGTTTCTTTTTCTCATAAAGAAAAGAAAAGAAAAGAAAAGAGAAAAACAAAGTTTCTTGTATAATTAACAAAAATGACAAATTTTAGTGCTTATTTAATTTTTGAAGGTAGTATTTTATATAATATATAAATTATTTATTGTTGGATATATAGATTTTCTTTATACATAAGGTAGCACTTTTATTTTCTTTTTTAATATAAATTTTATTAATTGTTAATCTAATAATCAAATAATTTTTACCTCATACTCCTATTATTTTTTTTTCATCTTCCTCAATTATTTTTAATTCTTATTTAATCAAATTCATAATCCTTAAAAATTAATGTTAAAAAGTATCAACTATTATTTTAATTAAAAATCAAATTATAATTATTCTTAATATGTAGGGTCTACATGAAATATTATAAAATACAAAAAGTACTCAACAGTTCTTTTTTTTTTTTAACATAAATCTTTGCCAACTCTTTCTTCTACAATTGCTTAACTTACAAAATTTTATTTTATGGTTTTTTTCTTATCCCTTCTATCATTTCCAATTTCTTGTCATTTTTTTGTGTTCCTATTCTATTCCTTAACTTATATTGCAAACTATTTTGATATATTAATATAGGCTTAATTTAACAAATCATTTAACAAATCATCTACTGACTTTCATATTTTTTTTCAGTTTCGTCTATTATTTTTAGATTCTTCCAATCCTATCTACTATCTTTCAGATTCATTTCAATTTCATCTAATCTATTATCTTTGACGGAAATCTTTCTATTTTATTAGAGAACAGTTAGTCATCTAACTATATTTGTTTTGATCTTTTAGTCCTCAAATTTATTTTGTTGTAAAAATAGCTTTTATACTTAAAATTACTTTGATACCAATTTTTTCTATGGGTTTTAAGAACTTAACTCAGACTACTACTGACTAATGAATAGCTGGTATGTTAAGTTCAATAAACGTAGAATTAGATCTACTAAATTGCTAATAAAGATAATCTTTGCTTGGCCTTTTTTAATCTTTTTAGATCTTCATTTAAATCTGTAACTATTTACTTCAACTTTCTAAGATTCTTAGATAGATGATAACCATCTTCAATATTACTTATTTTTCTAAAATTTTTACTATTTTATTTCTATGATATTCGCATTGCTACTCATAAACTATCTTATCTACAACAATTTCTTGAATAAAATCAAGCATTTTAAAGTATAATGGTTTATTATAAAATGGATTTGTCTATTTAAAATATAAGAGGTCAGGTACTATTTCCTCATCATTTCTCGTCTCAAAAATAGTCTAATGTTAAAGAATAATAAAGTTGTTTATATGCCCACCTTGCTTCCACATGATAAAATAAATGAGTTAGAATTTTACCTAAAAATCCTCTGGACTAGCTTTCAGTCAAGCAGATGCTTCCTTTGTCCAACCCTTAATGCCAAACACAAGTAATGGGAATCTGGACTAGACAAGTGCCTTCATTGTTGCCTCAATTTCTTTAGGATTCTTTTCATTTTATTTTATGATAGAAATAAAAAAGGATAAAAACACAAGAATTATTCTAAAACATGATTTTATTTCTAAGAAAAGAAAGGGAAAGCTCTTTTTCCTCTTGAAGGGTGTTTACACTCCTTTTCCTCTTGAAGGGTGTTTACAGATGCATAGTAGAAGGATTTCAAGTAAGGTATTTGGATGTTCAAATGCCTGATACCTGTTATAGCTTATAGGAGGCTTTTTATAGTGCTCCGTAGAATATTTTCTTTTGTCATTGCTGACAATTAAAGTTTACATTATTGTCTAGTAATTCAGAATTGCTTCTAGCTTTTGCTAAAGCAGATTACATGGAATCTTGCAGACACTCTTCTTTTTCTTCAGTGACATAAGAGCTTACATCTTTTTGCATTGGATTCTTTAAAGGACAATGAGATCCTTTTCACTGTCTTAGGGGATGGTCTCTTTGTCACATGAGGATTTAGCTTTTCCTTTTGCAGATTCTTTTTTGTAACAAAAACCATAATGGTTGTCATGCTTTAAGAGCTTGCATAGTCTATTATGGACTGCTTTACTAGCTGGGATCAGACTTTCAAAGATTTCCTTTCTTTTTTGCTTTATTTTGAATAGGCTGATGCTTGTCATTAATCTTGCACCAATGGATACTACCGAGATTTCTTTGGAGAAGCCATATGTCCATGTCTTCCTCATTTCTATCATTCTGTCAAAGGTCTGGAGTAAAACCTTGAATCCTAGAGCTTGTCTCTCTTAGATGAACTCGATCCCACAAAGAGACTCTTCAAAGTCTTGAAAAATTTGATCTTCATTCGCTTCTAACTTGATTTTCTTGGACTAGATTCCAATTTGAACTATATGATGACTAGGGAAACATTGAGATTTCTCCCATTTTGGTGTTGCAGAGTAGATTTTGACAAATACTACCCCATGAGCTTTAGTGCCAATTTTGAAGTCTTTCACCCCTTGGCGTATAACTTCTAAAAGTTCTGAAACTTCTTCATTATCCTTTGAGAGATAAATATAGTTTACAAAATCGTGATTGAATAACTCTTTTATTGCTTTTGGGTTTGCACCGTGCATGAAATTAATTCAGGGATAAATCCCTTCATGGATAGGATGGCAATTTTTAGTGGACCTCATTGAATATGCCATTTTACAAACTTTGTGGTATTCCTGCAGATATTTTTTACTCATTGTCATTTTTGACAAGGTGTCATTTATTGTAACTTTCTTTTCTTTCTTTCCTAAGTAATCAAGTCCAAAGTTATGACTTTCGGCATTTTAAATAGTCAGCTTTTCAACTTGAGATGCTGATATTTTTGAGGGGAAGTATTTGACATAATAGTCAAACTTCCCTGAACTTTCTCCAAGTAATCCTACTGAAAGATCACCTTGTTCAAAAATTTCTTTTAGCTCTTGTTGGGAGCTTTTCTTTGCCATCTGGCTAGATTCTTTAGAGTTGATTCCGATAGTTGTAATCACTCCAGAACTCATTAATTTTTCTATCAGCTCATTGACTTCTTCAAGGGCATCTTGTCCCTTATTTAATAACTCATGGCCTTTAATAATTTTTCCTTGACCTTCATCCATAAGGTTATGGCCTTCATCAATTATTTCTCGGCCTTCTCTTATTTGGCTATTGCCCTTAATGAGTATCTCTTAACCTTTGAGAATAAGGTATTTCGCTTTATTTTGGAGCTTTAGGATTGCATCCATTAGCTCCTTCTCTGCTCAAGAAATCTGCAAGACAATTATTAGTTCCTTTGACATGTTCAATTTCAAAATCATATTCAACAAAGAAAGTTTACCATCTATTTAATCTTTTATATTTTGGTGTTAAAGGTAATTTATTAAAAATAAATCCCTTAATTGAGTATTGTCAGTTATGACCTTAAAATATTTTGGTAA